TGGCCAGAGCCATGTATCTCCCGACAGTTTTTTGAGCCGAGGTGGCGCCGAAGCGTGTTGGCGCGTTCTCCTGCTTCCGATCCGCCTGCGCCTTCGGCGTCGACGCCAAGCTCTTCATGATCGTCGTCGTCGTCCCCCTCCCCACCACATCCACGTAATGATAGTTCTCGTCCTCGCCCGCCCCCTTCCACTACACCTCCTCCTCCTCCTCCTTCTTCTTCTCCTCCTCCTCCTCCTCCTCCTCTTCCTCCTCCTCCTCCTCCTCCTCCTCCTCCTCCCCCTCCTCATCATCAGCATCATCACCATCACAATCATCATCATGGCAGCATCGTACCAGCACAGTCATGAACATCATCACCATCACCATCATCACACTCATCACAATCATCAGCATCATCAGCAGCATAATCCAGAACAGCATCGACAACATCGTGATCATCACCATCAACATCATCATCATCAGCATCATCATAATTCTCCTCCTCCTCCTCCTCCTCCTCCTCCTCCTCCTCCTGCTCCTCTTCCTCCTCATCAACAACATCCCCTTCTCTATCCTCCTGGTCATCCTCCTCCTCCTCCTCCTCCTCCTCCTCATCATCATCATCATCATCTTGATCCTCCTACTCCTCCTCCCCCTCCTCCTCCTCCTCTTCCCCCTCCTCCTCCTAATCTTCCTCCTGCTCCTCCTGTTCCTCCTCCTCCGAATTTGTTGTCTCCTGATCTCACACCTCCTCGTCCCCCTCCGATACGAAAGCCTCGCTCCTGGTGATTCTCCTCCTCGTCGTGATATGTATTATTCTTCTTCTCCTCCTCCTCCTCCTCCTCATCCTCCTCCGCTTCCTCCTCTTCCTCCTCTCCCTTTTATCCTCGACCTCGCCATCGACCTCCTGCTAGTGTTTCTCCTCCTGTTCCTCCACCTGCTCGCAGCGTTCTTGTATTCCTCATCCTCGTGTTCCTCGTCCTCCTCCGATCCGCAGAGCTCCTCCTACTCCTCCTTCTCCTCCCCCCCTCCTCCTCCTCCTCCTTTTCCTTTCCTCATCGTCCTCACATTTCTCCTCCTCCTCCTCCTCCACGTCCTTGCATTCCTCCACCTCATCTTCCTCCTTCTCCTATTCCTCTGCTGCCTCCTCGTCCTCCCCGACCTTTCCCGCCTCCTCCTCATCATCATCATCATCCTACTCTTCCTCTTCCCTCCGCTCCTAATGCTAATCCGCCTCCTCCTCGCGCGTTGCATCTCAGGCGGCTACCACGTCTAAGGCGAAACGGCTCGGACCACCTCGCGCGCGGCATCCCGGAGCTAAGACTTTCGAGGACGTCTCCGGCGAAACGGCCTGGAAAACCTCTCGCATGGCACCTAGAAGCTTCGAATTTCGAGGATGTCTCAAGCGAAACGGACTGGACCACCTCGCGCGCGGCGCTCCAGAGCCCAGATGTTCGAGGATGCCTCTGGCGAAACGGCCAATCCCGAACAACTCAGGAACGAGAGTTATGAGGACGTCTCCGCCGAAACGGCCCGGAACACCAGATTTGTTTGAGGATGCCTCAGCCAGAGCTAGCTTCCATCACAACATAACCCCGCTCAGCAAGCTGCTCGGGGAGAAAAAGGGCAACCGGAACGGCAAACCAGCGGCTCCAGGATTTGGAACCGCAGCCAGATCAGGCAACAAAAGCCACGACGGAACCTGCACACAAAAACGGCGCCAGAAACAGAACACAAGCGGCTCTGTCAGTCGGTCGGGGGAGGAGGAGGAGGAGGAGGAGGAGCCAGTAGCGCAGCGAGGACGGAAGCGATAGAAAAACTGCACTCCCGTTTCCAGGGATCCCACAGGGGAGGAGGAGGTGCACACGGAGCGCGCGGCCCGAGGATGGCTTGTTTCCCAGCCATCCTGTGCTGAGAGGGGTCTTCGCCCGCGCATTCCTTCTCCTCCTTCGCCTCCTCCTCCTCCTTATTATTATTATTCTTATTATTCTTCTTAGTATAATGATTATTATTATTTTTCTTCGTCTTCTTCTTCTTCTTCCTCCTCCTCCTCCTCCTCCTCTTCCTCCTGCTCCTCCTCCTCCTTCTCCTCCCTCCTCCTCCTCCTCCTCCTCTTCCTCCTCCTCCTCCTCCTCCTCCTCCTCCTCCCTCCTCCCTCCTCCTCCTCTCCTCCTCCTCCTCCTCCTCCTCCTCCTCCTCCTCCTCCTCCTCCGCCTCCTCCGCCTCCGCCTCCTCCCCTCTCCTCCTCCTCTCCTCCTCCTCCTCCTCCTCCTCCCCCTCCTCCTCCGCTCCGCTCCGCCTCCGCCTCCGCCTCCGCCTCCTCCTCCTCCTCCTCCTCCTCTTCCTCCTCCTACTCCTCCTCCTCGTCATCCTCCTCCTCCTCCTCCTCCTCCTCCCTCCTTTTCCTCCTGCTCCTCCTCCTACTTCCTCTTCCCTCCAACTTCCCTCCTACTGCTCCTCCTCCTCCTCCTCCTCCACCTCAAGCTCCTCCTCCTCCCTCATCTTCGCCTCCCTCCTCTCGTCATCCCTCCATCCCATCCCTGCATCCGCGCGTCGCGATGTTCTGTGTTACCTTGATTTGTCTTGCAGGAGGACACGCGAGACAAGCCTGCACCCCCTGAGCTTGTCACAACACTGCGCGGCGGAGAGAGCGGAACACAGCAGGAGGAGGAGGAGGAGGAGGGGGGGAGGACGATGACACAGAGCCCGTGAAGCTAATGCCAAAAGAGAGGTCAACCCCAGGTCGAACCGAGAAACCATTCAAGCGCTGCATCGCGCTGCGAGCTGGCAGGCTTTCAGTTGCCGAGCTGAGGGCCGGGGAACCGGCACTGTGGCTGCGGGGGGAACCAGCACTGTGGCTGCCGGGGAACCAGCTACTCGAGGAGAATGGCAGGGTCCGAGGACTTGGGGTGTTCTGGGCCTGCAGTGGGCCTCCTCGTCGCCGAGGCGCTGGCTATGAGGGTGCTCCGGGCCTTCTCGAGGCCGTCTCGTCGCCACGGCCGAATCCGCCTCGGGGTCCTTGTCGGGACGCATCCCAGGATGGGTCCGGGGGGCAGGGCGATATTTCAACCTGGGCGTAGCAAACAACAAAGTCAACGTGCGGTTTTGACCAATGTTCCGCCTTCGGGGGCCCCCCAGGCTGTCGCAAATAACACCAAAGGAGAAGCTGGCAGGGGGAATGGAAAGCTAGCCGAGGGAAGGGGTCGAGACTTTCTCTGGGGGTCGACGTTGTGAAAGAAGTCGCCGCGTCGGGTGTCCGCACTGCGCGCATCGAGGGCATCGAGGATCATCATAGATCAACGGTGTCGGAGAGAGGGGAGGGCACGGATGCAAGACGCTGGCATCTTGCCCTGGCTCGTCCACACTCGGTCAGAGGTCAATGGGCAAAAAGCTGCGCCGAGAGGGGTGCTCCTTTGCACCCCTCTGCCCGTCTCGCCCAACAGCCAACAGTCGATCGGGGAGGGGAAGAGGGATGGATAGATGCTACACTTCGGTCGGAAGGAGTGGGTCGAAACATGGAGCAGGAAGGCAGATCAAGTAGATTGGGCTGAGGCCCTCCCAGAGAATAGCAGCACACAGCAAACGCATATCGATTCTTGGAGTAGGAAGGCGCTTGAAGTAGATTGAGACCTGGGAATCCAGAAATGCCCACTTTCAACGACCGGTCTTTGGTTCAGGGGGACCTTGCTGGAGCCGATCGCTCCACTCCTGCGTCGATGCTGCCTCGAACGCCCGTCGACTGGAGTCGACCTCGAGTCGATTTTAAGAGTCAAGTTGCGATCGCAGAGCTCCGTCGGGTGGGCCCCAGGGGCGATCCCCCAACGAGCATCGAAGGGAGTGGGGGAGTGGGGGAGTGGGGGAGTGGGGGAGGGCCGGGGGCGGCGCGCAGCATGGGGTGGCGGCCTTCTGCGAAGGCCGCCGGGGCTTCTCCGAAGGGCTCGGGGGCCTCATATATACGGTCAGGACCTCTCTTGCTTCGCCGGCCGCGGCGGCGGCCCCTGCGGTCGACACCGTCTCCCCCGCGAGCCGATTGCGAGCCGCTCTGCTTTGAAAGGGACCCGCCGGCCGGGAAGAGCTCGGGGCGTTGACGCCGGGGCGGCTGGGGCGTGCTTCGCGGGTGGCTCCCTCGGGGCCACCTTTTCGCGCCGAGTCCTTTTCAGGCGGCCCTGGGGCGAGGTGGGGCAGGGCCAGGGGTTCGGCCAGGTGGGGCTCGAAGAGCATCGCCCTGGACGGCCTCCTGGCCGGCCTCAGGCTGGGCTCGCTCTGCGTTCCCCCGGTCCGGAGACACGGAGGGCTTCTCTGAGCCCTCCGAGGAGGTCTGCCCCCACCCCCCACACTTCCCCCATCGGCGCGCCGCCGAGTTTGGGCTTTGAGGTCGTGACTCGAGCCTCTGGGGCGGCCGATCGGTGCGATCTGGGCACCCCCAGACGCCTCTCGGCGAGAAGCAGCCGCTGGAACGCATGCGGCGGCTGGAAAACCGCTGGGACATCGTTTTGTACGTCGCAGCGCGGCAGTGGCAGTCCGCCCCGCGCGCTCGGGCGGCCCCCGTCACCGGAGAGGCCGAGTGAACCGGCGACGGGAGGATGGAAAGAGTGGCGGAAGCGGCCGCGGGGCGGGAGGAGGAGGGGGAGCAGGAGGAGGAGGAGGGGGAGCAGGAGGAGGAGGAGGAGGAGGAGGAGCAGGAGGAGGAGGAGGAGGAGGAGGAGGAGGCTGGAGGGAGGAGGAGGAGGAGGAGGAGGAGGAGGAGGGAGGAGGCTGGGGGAGGAGAGGAGGAGGAGGAGGAGGAGGAGGAGGAGGAGGAGGAGGAGGAGGACGAGAGGCTGAGGGAGGAGGGGAGGAGGGGGACCAGGAAGGGGGAGGGAGGAGCCGGTCGGGGGGGAGGGAGGGGCAGGGGCGGGGGGGGGCTGCGCGCCCGAAGCCCTCGAGCCCCGAGGGCGCCGCCCCGTCGGCGCGCCGAGGCCGACGGGGTGGCGGCACGCCGAGGGCGCGGCGCCGCGGTGCCCGCCCTCCGCCGCGAGCGGCGCGGCCCGCGGGCGCCGCGCGCCCGCTGCGCCGCGGCACGCGTCCCTCGACGGGCGTCCCTCGACGGGGGGGGACCCCCGCCCTCGGCCTGGAGGGACGGACTGCCTACCAGACCACCCCGACCCAGCCCCGAGGGCACGAAACCGACCCGAGTTTCGGGTCGGGGGGGGGGGGGGGCACGGGGGCCCTGGCCATTTTTCGAGGCTCCCCGATCCCCCCCCCGCCCACTGGAAATGGAGGGCAAATGGAAGCCTTCGGGTTGGGTCGGGGTGGTTTGGTGGGTGGTGAGGGACGGCGCTGATCTTAGGTCGGGCCTGTCCCCCCTACAGGCCCCACAGGGGGATCTTGGGGCGAAGCAGCCTCAATCTGCTCAAAAGCAGATCCCAGAATGCTAGAGCATAGGCGAACAATCAGCCCGACACGATGTTCCAACCATGTTTGAGGGTCCTGCCTGTAGAGGGGCAGGCCGAACTGAACGCTCCACGACGGTACCGTCAACCCGTGTCGCAAGGACGCGCGAGAAGGAGGCAAGGGCCTCTGCAGGCCGTTTCGGAGCGCTTCGAGCGGGGCGCGGCCAGCAAGAGTGGCCAAGGATGGGGCCGAGGAGGCAAGGATGCAGGGATGGCCCTGGGAAGGTCGCCGATCCTTCCTGTGCGCGTTGGCTGCAGGGGGCAACCGGCCCAGGAGGGGGGAACGTCGACCTGGGATCGGCGATGCATCGCCGATGATAACATCGGCGACGGGTCCCCGGCAGCGACTCCGAAAGGCCCCGGGCCCCGTTCGGCGACGCATGGGTGCTTGCGGGTCGAGGCGTCCCCGATGTGCCCCCCCTGGGCCGCTATGAAAGGGCAGAACATCCACCCCCATAAGAATCACCCCGGCACGCGAAGCCGTTAATTCAGTAAACGCACCCACAGACGGAACCGAGCAGGCCAGAGCTCTCTGGTGCACGCCCCGGGCTGTTCAGGAGACGCCAGTCGCCACTTCTCGGGTCCGGGCGGCTGCTCTTCCCTGGACCTAATTATCCCCCCCCCCCAGCGCTGCCCCTGAGCTGTTGCCTCCGCTTCCCGAGGCTGCCAGCGATGGCTTCCTGTGCTGCTGGCGGCGCGCCGCCCGGGGGGGGGGCAGCCCTCTCCCCAGACCCCCGGCGTCATGATTTTTTCATGACGCGACCCCCAGAGATCCAGACCCATTCCCCAGGACCCGGTTTATCATCTTGAGCCGTTGTTTGACGGTCCTGAGGGCCGGCAAGGGCCCCCGAAGGCCGAAGATAGCGAAAAACGTCCCGTCGTGATTTTTTCATGACTCGATTGGGGCAAGCCCTCTCTCGGCGGAGGAGGAGGGGGAGGAGGAGGAGGGGGAGGAGGAGGAGGAGGAGGAGGAGGAGGAGGAGGAGGAGGAGGAGGAGGGGTCTCGGGCCCGAGGCTCTCGGCGGGCCTCGGCGGGCCGCGAGGCCCGAGGCTCTCCGCCGCCCTCGGCGGCTCTCGGCGGTCATCTCCGGCCTCGGGGTGCGTGCCGGCGGCTGCTGCGCCTCGCCGATCGGGGGGGGGCCCCCCCGGCTCGCCCCGAGCGGCCGCGGGAGGCGCGAGGCAGGGCCCAGGACGCGGCTCGGCGGCGCGCTGCTGGGGGGGGGGAGCTCGGGGAGCCAGGCCCGAGCAGAGGGCGGGGGGCTGCGCAGGAGCCATCCGGCCTGCTCGGGAGCCCCGCGGCGTCGCTCAGGACAGGAAAAGGGCAAGAAGAGGAAGGGAAGGAGGGCCACACGCCCTGGAGCGCGTCGGCGCGGCGCGGGCGAGCACGACATACTGGTCGATCACGAGAAGCGTGTGGATGCCGCTGCTTAGCCCCTTCTGACCGGGGCGCCCCGGTCTTTCGAGAAGGTGCTCTTCCATAGTGACAGACCTGACCTCCCGCTTGCCAAAGGGTGCCGTCGACTGCCCAAGGGGGGAGTCGACGAGCAAACCCGTGGCAGGACCGCCCTCGCTCTCGTGTCGCCCTAGCACGAGGCGCCAGGCACCCTGGCGAAGGAGGCGGGGAGTGCGGGAGCGGCGAACGCACGAGAGCTGAGGGGCAACGACAAGCGGGGGGGGGGGCTGGCATTCGGGGGGGGGGGAGGGTCGGCCTGGAATCGGCGACGCATCGCGGATGGCTCGGCGGTGGGCCCCCCAGAGCGAGCCCCCACGTTCCGGGGCGGATTTGGGGCTCTCGGGCCCTTGGCAGTGATGAGTGGACGACTGGGGGCCGATGCGTCCCCCCCCGATGCCTCTTCCCCCCTTCTCGCTGCCCCTGCAGGGCCCCTACCCACGCGAAGCCAAGACGCGAGAGGGAGAGCGAGAGAGAGAGAGAGAGGGAGAGAAACGAGCCCACCCAAAGGCGCGGGGCGGCATCCGAGGCTTGCGCCCCGCGTGGCGCTGTCCGAAGACATCCGATGCGTTTTTCGTCCTGTTTTGCCAGATGCGCACTCGCCCTTCCGCTGCCCCCGGGGCCTGGCGCAGGCCTGCCTCTGGGCTGGCAGACTGCGAGAGCAGCTCGATCTCGTCGTAGGCGGCCTCGGTGTAGTTCGGGGCACTCTTCTGGACCTGCTGGCCGCCCCCTTCATCCGACTCCTCTTCGTGCGCTCCCGGCTCCGCCTCAGTACCCCGCCGACCTCGCGTCCGTCTCCATCTCGTTCTCATCTGCCCCCGCCATCGCCTCGTCATCTTGGGCCCCCCAAAGCCGCCACCGCCTCCTGCTTTTCGTTATCACCCCCTCCTCCCATGCCTCCTGATGGCCCCTTCAAACTTCCTGGGCAACGCCCTTCCCTCAAGAGCCATCCTACCCCCTCCTCAGAGTCCCTCCTCCAACTACATATATCCTCTGTCTTCCTCCTCTCCCAGAGGCTCCGCACCTTGAGGCCTCATTCGAAGCTACTCGAGGCCCAACCCCCATCTCGAGCCGTCCTCCTCCTCCTCCTCCTCCTCCTCCTCCTCCTCAACCTCTTGCTCCTCCTCCTCATCAACCTCTTGCTCCTCCTCCTCCTCCTCCTGCTACTGCTCCTGGTCCTGCTCCTGCTCCTGCTCCTCCGCTTCCTCCTCCTCCTCGTCCTCCTCCTCCTCCTCCTCCTGTTCCTTCTCCTCCTGTTCCTTTCCTTCCTCCTCCACTCCCCCCTCCTCCTCCTCCTCCTTCCTCCTCCTCCTCCTCCTCCTCCTCCTCCTCCCCCCCTCCTCCTCCTCCTCCTCCTCCTCCTCCTCCTCCTCCTCTCCTCCTCCTCCTCCTCCTCCTCCTCCTCCTCTCCTCCTCTTCCTCCTCCGCCTCTTCCTCCTCCTCCACCTCCTCCTGCTCCTACTCCCTCCTGCTCCTCTTCATCCTCCTCCTCCTTCTCCTCCTCCTCCTCCTCCTCGTCCCCCCTCGGGCAAATGAAGGCCTCTGGAGGCTCCAACCAAATTTAAACACGCGCCCCAGCACTCCGACCGCCCTTCCTGCTCCTGGTCCACCTCCAGACACAAAGCTTTTGTCAAATCGCCCCTCCTCCTTCTCCTCCTCCTCCTCCTTGAACTCTCGGACCTCTCCTGGGTTCCATCCCAGCACGCTTCTCGTCCCACCTCGATGTCTGACGGCCCCAGGGCCCGAAACGAGCACCCTCCCATCGAGGCCAGAATCGACAAAACAGCTCCGGCGTCAATTCTTGCGTGTGCGATCCTCCCTTCCCCCCTCCTCCCCCTCCTCCTCCTCCTCCTCCTCCTCCTCCTTCTCCTACTCCTCCGTCCTCTTCCCCTTGCAGAGGCCCGGCCCTCCATTCTCCTCCTGGGGAGGAGGGAGGCGGGGGGGAGGCGGGAAGAGGGAGGAGGGGGCGAAGGAGGAGGGGGAGAAGGAGAAGGGGAGGGTTACGGAGAGGGGGAGGATTAAGAGGGGAGGGGGAAGGGAGGGTGTGGAGGAGAAGGAGACGGGAGAGGAGAAGGAGAGGGGAAGGGGAGGGGGGGAAGGAGGAGCGGGAGAAGCAGAGGATGAGCAGGAGGAGGAGGAGAAAGAGGAGGAGGAGGAGGAGGAGGAGGAGGAGGAGTGAGGGAAGTACGAGGGTGTGACGTGAAAGGCCGAACAGGTCTCAACTCCCAGTCGTCGACGCTCCATCCTACACCCCTTTTTCTCCATTGTTCGGGCTAGGAGTCGGCTGGAGCCCCAGCGTGTTTGCGGCAATGAAAGCTGGCAAAGAACCGGCTTGGGCGATACGGCCTGAGTGCAACAGCACGCTGAATATGGATAACAACGTGGCAGCGAAGACAAGACAGGAGCGACAGCCTGCAAGGATGAGAGGAGGGGGAGGACACCCACAGAATTCATGTCTTGCTTGCCCCTCTCCTCCAAGGTCCACTGTTCCGACTCCAGCACATGTCTGTCCAACTCTAGGGCCCGTGTGTGAACAGTACTGGCAGGCTGTTGGCATGCTTGCAAGACCTGATGCAGAAAGAGTCCACGAGCGCTTGGAGTTCGATCCTCCTCCTTCTCCTCCTCCTCCTCCTCCTTCTCCTCCTCCTCCTTCACCTCCACCTCCTCCTCCTCCTCCTCCTCCTCCTCCTCCTCCTCCTCCTCCTCCTCCTCCTCCCCCTCTTGTGCCTGGGCGCTGTCCAATCGGGGGGCGACCAACGGAAGGGCGAAGAAACGCACACCCTGCGTTCCCCTTTGAGGATCCAGGCGGCCACCTGAGGGCCACTGGGGTGCACGTTTCTTCACCCCCCCCCGATTGATCAAGGCCTTCTGGGCGGGGTCGGAGTAGGTGGGGTCGGAGGATCGTGCCGCATCGCCAATGCTTCGGCGATGCATCGGAGATGCATCGACGGCGTCGAAGATGCATCGGCGACATCGGCGTGGAGAAAAGTGGGCCCCACATCGAGCCGCATCGCCGATGCATCGCCGATGCATCGGCGATGCGGCGCGATCATCCAAACCCGTCTGCTCGGAACCCATCTAGGAGGCCTCTAGTTGATCGCCCCCCCCCACTGCGCCACGCCCGACTTCTCCGCCTCCTCCTCCTCCTCCTCCTCCTCCTCCCCCTCCTCCTCCTCCTCAATCCTCCTCCTCGACCTCCACCTCCTCCTCCCCCTCCTCCTTCTTCTCCTGCCTGCTCCTCCCAAGGGGAAGCCGCGCCGCCCCCCCGAGGGGCCTTCATGGCCACGAAGCGGCCCTCCCGCGCGTCCTCGCAGAGCCACACCGTCGAGAAGTGTCCCCAGCCCAGCTTGGCCAGCACCTCGGCGGCCCCCACCCCTGGGAGGCGCAGGCGCAGGAGGAGGAGGAGGATGAGGAGGAGGAAAGAGACGAAGCAGGAGGAGGAGGAGGAGGAGGAGGAGGAGGAGAGGAGGAGAAGAGGAGGGGAGGAGGAGGGGGAGGAGGAGGAGGAGGAGGAGGAGGAGGAGGAGGAGGAGGAGGAGAGGGGAGGAGGAGGCGGAGGAGGAGGAGAGGAGGAGGAGGAGCAGGAGGAGGAGGAGGAGGAGGAGGAGGAGGGGAGGAGGAGGAAGAAGAGAAGGAGGAGGAGGAGGATGAGAAAGGAGGAGGAGGAGGAGGAGGAGGAGGAGGTGGAGTGGGAGAGAAGGAGGAGGAGGAGGAGGAGGAGGGGAGGAGGAGGGCGACGAGGAGGTGGAGGAGGAGGAGGTGGAGCTGGAGGAGGAGGAGGAGGAGGAGGAGGAGGGTGAGGGGGAGCAGCGGGAAGAGGAGGAGCAGGAGGAAGAGGAGAAGCGCCACTGTTCACTGGTGGTGCGACGCGACGCCGCCTCTCGCTGGTTCAAGGATGGGGTCCGGAGGGAACAGGCCCTGAGGACGAGGTGCCTCTAAGCAGTGCAGCTCCATCCTTGGACCCCTTCCCGTCCCGAGGGCCCCATCCCTCGGGACCCCATCTTTGGACCATCGAGCCTCGAGGCGTGCATCCGTGGTCCGGGTGAGCCACGCCGCCCCCCCGCCCACCCCGCCCCGGGCCTGCCAGGAGGTGAGAGTGAGAGGGGCCACGCCTGGGGCTGTCCAGGGCGCGGCCGCGTGGAGCCCGCGCGCGGCTTCGCCCGGCCTTCGCGCCCGCCCGAGGCCGAGCGATGCGAGGACCTGGCCCGCAGCCTCGGCCAAAGCAGTGCACCGGCCGACGGGCGAGCTGCTGCGATCTTCGACCGCAGGCCCGAGCAGCACTGGAGCAGCACGGATCGATGCTTCAACACACCGCCCACTGTGGCCCCCGAGTATCTGTCCTCGGGCGGGCCGTGGTCGGGAGGGCGCCTCAGGAGGCACCAACCGGGCACAAGCATAGACCACAAACACGCTCTAAGTGGGTCCTCGAGGTCCGACGTCACGAAACAAATAGGCCAACATCTTGAAAAATCACGTCCGGAGCCCCAGAGCCCGTCGTTCCTCTGCAACTTCGAGCCAAATCGATCTGCGGTGGTCCTGGAAGAACCGTGGCGAAAACGCCCGGAATGAACAAACTGCCACGCCCGGATCTCAGGACTTGGGGACGATGGAGATCGGGGGATCTCTCATCCCAGACCTCCGCCATTATGCGTCTTGTCACAGCGTCGACTCCCAGAGGTCTCGCCACATTATCCTGGACCAGCTTTTCAACACTAATGTGTTTCCCTACCATCCTTTGGTGTTGGGCCCTCCTCCTGAACAGACAGCGCACCGAGTCACCTCACCTCATCTCACCTCGCTGCCTCCTCTCCACCTCCCATCCTTGCCTCTGCCCTCTGCATGTCCATTTCGGCAGGCCCATCACGCGCTTCGTGGCCCCACAGGGAGCTCCACCGAAGGCCCGACTGACAGGGTTCGAATGCGTCTCCCCGCCGGCAGCCTGTCCGTTTCGGCGCACCCGTTACACACGCTTCGTAGCCCCATGGGGAGCTCCACCGAGGGCCCCAGTGGCAGGGTTTGCATGCGTATCCCCGCCCACCGCATGCCCATGTCGGCACACCCCTCAGGGTTCACATGCGGCTCCCCGCCCACTGCATGTCCATCTCGGTACACCCCTCACACGCTTCAAGGCCCCACAGGGAGCTCCACCGAGCACGCTACTCACAACTGCGCCACTCGCAGCTGCGTGTGATGCGGCCTCTCGCCACGGCCACTGTGAACGGACCCGGGGCGCGGCGAGGACTCCGAGAGCCCGCACATCGACGCGGAAGCCGTCTGTCGCGATTTGTGTCGCGACGCGAGGCAGGGCTCGAGCGAAACAGTGTCTCTCGTGCTCGTCATGCGCTCGCTCTCCTTCGTGCTGTGCTCTTGTTCTGCCCTTGCTGCAGGACGACATCAAAACGCAAACGACCCAGGAGATCGCCAGAAATTGCCGTGCAGCTCGAGCCCTGACGCAACAAGGGGTCTTGGATCGAGCCCCGGTCTGCGGCTCCGGGCCGACTGCGCCCCGCGCCCGGTAGCGCCCGTTGTAGACCTCCCCGACGGTCACGACGTGGTAGCCGCCCCTGCGGTACCCCTCGGCGCCCTCGTCGTCGCTCTCGGTGCCCTCCTCCTGCTCCATGGGCTCGCCCACGGCCATCCTGGGGCGGTGGAAGCCCATACCTCCGACGAGATTGATTTCTCGGGACGCTGGATGCCGAGAGAGCTCGAGGCGAAGGGGCTCGAAGGACGTCTTCGCACCCCGTCGACGACCACCACCACGATGGCGACGAACCTCTCCGAACCTCGTCGCCGAATCTCTTCGATGGCGGCGGCGGCGGCGGCAGCGGAGACCAAATTACGATGACGGGGCACTCACCGAGCCGCAGAACAAAAGCCACCGAACGCACCCAAACACCATCGGCAACCCTGGCCCGCAGCGAGGGCCACGGAGAGGACCCGAATCTGTGCAGACGCGCTCTCGTCCAATCCCGGGCGTTGTGCCTCGACTGCGGGTTCGAGGATGATACAGATGCTGAGGATGATGATGCGATGATGATAATGATGGTGATGGGGATGATGAGTAGCGATGTGGACTCAAGTTGGTGATGATGCTGTTGATGATGCTGTTGATGACGGTGATGTGAATGATGAGGATGGTGATGGTGATGGTGATGGTGATGGTGATGGTGATGGTGATGGGGATGGGGATGATGATGATGATGATGATGATGATGATGATGATGATGATGATGACGACCATGATGACCATGACGATCACGATGTTTTTCCTCGACTGCTGGTTCTGGGTCCCGTCATCGGGCCCCGGGACAATCAGGGACAAGAAACTAACCCTGGGAGAGCGGTCGGGCCTACTGGAGCCGCAGATCGAGCACCATCAGTTCGGGCCAGCCCTGCTCGCGTCGTGGCATGATCGCGACAGACGCTGTGCCTTTTGTTGCGTAAAACGTCACGGTGTATATATATATATACATAGGTAGGTGGATACATATGATTATGTATGCACGTTTGTGTATGTATGTGTGTACGTATGGATGTGTGTGTGTGTGTGCATGTATGTGCGTGTGTATGTATGTATGCATGTATGTATGTATGTATGCATGCATGCATGTATGTATGTATGCCTGTCTGTCTGTCTGTCTGTGTGGATGTATGTATGCATGCATGCATGCATGCATGTATGTATGACTGTATGTATGTATGTATGTATGTATGTATGTATGCATGTATGTATGTATGTGTGTATGTGTGTATGTATGTATGTATGTATGTATGTGTGTATGTGTGTATGTGTGTATGTGTGTATGTAGGTATGTAGGTAGGTGGGTATAGATGTATGCATGTATGTATGTATGTATGTAGGCATGTATGTATGTACGTATGTATGTATGCATGTATGTATGTACGCATGTATGTATATATGTATGTATATATATATATGTATGTGAATATGTATGCACATATGTAAACAAATGGTGTACATATGTATAAACACATGCACATCTGTGTGTGTATGTATTTCGATATAAACATCTACATCTGTATATATCCGCCACCGTGCCCTTGGGCACGGAGTGGGCGTGTCCTCGGGTCCGTTGCCTACTCCTCTGAACCCCATTCCGCACTCCTTGGCATTCCCTGAAGCACCCTGACCACTCGCTCTCAAATCTCTCTGGGCCTCAAGCGCCTCGTCGCGCGACTTTCTTCGGAGCCAAGGGGGCCCAGAGGCGGGCCAAGAGGGCCCCAAGAGGCCCACCCAAGACGATCCAAGAGCCCCGGGTCGCCGAACGATCGCTCCAAGGCGCCCAAGATGGCCCCAAGATGGCCCATGAGTCCTCGAAAACGCCTCGAGGGGCCTCCAAGAGGCCTCCCAAGAGGGCCCCAAGAGGCAGAGATCATTGATCGTCCCTCGGTTTTTGGCGGATGTTGGTGTCCTCGCCTTTCTCCAAAACGGCCCACGAGGCCCCCAAGACCACCCCAAGACGGCCCAAGAGGCCTCCGAGAGGGCTCCAAGACGGCCTTAGAGCGCCCCAAGACGGCGCAAGAGGCGCGCCACGACGCCCCAAGACGGCCTCAAGAGGGGCCCAAGAGAGAGAACACTGACCGAACATCAGAGTCTTCTTCTCCAAGAGGCCCACAAGCGGCCCCAAGAGGAACCCAGAGGCCAAAAAAAGTCCCGAAGAGGCCGAAGCGGCAATCAAGAGGCCTCAACACTGCCTCCAAGATGCCCCCGAGAGGTCCCCCACGAGATCCCAACGAGCATGCACTAGGCCTCATACCCACAACCCAGCAGTCCAGGCACGGTGGCGGGGTGGGCCGACGGATATTAATATTAGATGCACTAGTGCGATATAGTTTTAGTTAGCCATGCATATGTGTGCTTACACACACACATATATATAGGTATTCATCTGTCGATTTCGCTACATGGCTTTCACACACACACATATATATATATATATACATACGCATAGAAACTGGAAACCCTGAAACAAGAAATCTTGCCATCAACTGGGAAAGCATGTTTCACTTCCGCCAGCTCCCGACGCCCTTCCGCAGGCTTCCGCCGACGACGGCGGCCTCGCTTTCCTTCCGCCGCCTTCCGCAGAGGAAGAGATGCAATTTCCTTCGACTCTCGAAGGTAAAGCCCTTCCTGGCACGCCTCATCCATTCGGCCGTCGGGGACCCCCGCGGGGCCCTGTCAGAGAACGACTCAGGATGAAGAGCCAGTCCCGGGGGATGGGTCGAGACCTCCAGATGTCGGGGCTGTGCTGTGACCAAAATCGTGGCGTCGGGGGTTTGGAAAGCCCGCGTCACCAGCAGAGGCTGCAAAGCCTCCCACCCGCCCTCCGCTCCACCGCCACCAGTGCGCGGCGCGCGCTGGGGAACGGGGTGCTGGGAGGGGAGTCATCCGAGATGCGGCGCTGCAACAAATCTTCCGGACTGGGGGTGGGGCAAGACTGTCAATGACACGCCGTCGCGGGGGGAAGCCATCAGCCCGTCACTGTTGCAGAAACGCTGGGCCTTCGGGCAGCAGCGGAGCAGGAGCACGCAGCGTGTCCCTGAGACTCACGTCTCCTCCGAGAACCTTCTTGCACATCCACGGCCAGAGCCCTCGGCCCCACTTGTCCGCGGCATCCTTCGGGCCAGATCGATCCGCGAGGGCCATTGGGGCCCGACGTCGGGCGAAGGGCGCACCGAGGGCCCAACGGACGGGCCGCGCAGAGGTCCGCGTGCTGGCCGCCGCGAGACTTCCTTTTTTGCCTCTGCGGTGTGTTTGCTGCTCGCCGGGTCCTGGGGCGGTTCCGGCCCTTTCCGGGCCGCGGCCACCGGCCGTCGCGGCAGGGCTGCCCCACGCAGCCCCGGGCGTCTGGGCCGAAAAGGCTTCGGCATAGGCCCGCCGAGTCTGCGCCGCATCACGTCGTGCAGCTGGCCGGGCAGGCGAGCAGCTGAGGGGATGGAGAAGGATGGCGATGCGCAGCCGAAGAACAATCACAAGAGAGGGTGAGGACGGTGAAGAGGACGGGAAATAGGATGATGAGGATGATGATGTTAACGATGACTGAGGAGGTCCCTAACCCCAGCTGGGGTTATTTTGGCTCAGGGCCATATCGGGACTCATCCCCCGCCTCGAGGCGGCCAAGGAAGACAAATCGCGGCCCCGCAAGTGTTTCAGTGCAAAGGTATCCTATTCGTATTGGTGCATACATATATCTCCTCTCCGCATGCCGAAGTGTTCCGTGCTGGCATGGGCGGCACCAGCAAACAGAGAGATCCATACGTTATCGGAGCCACGTCCAGCTCTGCAGGACCATGTGACATTGGCACAGCCCGAGCACAACCGAGCAACAACATGGGCAGCAGCATGTCGGGCGTCGGTCAAGGTAGAGGTGGTCACTGCTAACGCTGCCATGTCCAAGAGGCCAAGATGGAGAAGATGGTCGGCAACCAAATCAAGACCTACGACGATCTGCAGGGCACGGTGGATCAGCTCGACTCCAGGTGGGAGGACACATTCGCCGAGATCTCTCGTGGGGGGAGGGTGGGGTATATTATGGACGTCGACCATTCCTAAGCCACCCGCGACCCAGATTCGGGGATGGACAGACCTCCCTTTAGTAAAACGTGGTGTAGTGAAAACGTCCTGAGGCCCACACCTGGCGGGCGCGAGCCTGGAAAAATGACGGCCGCGGCGCCCTCTCGAGAACCGAACAAGGACAATTCACTAATCGACGTGTCACAATTGGGGGTTCTGTCCACCCCCGACCTATCCCCAAGACTGACACGCCAAAAGGCGACGACAATCTTAGGGAGCCGCCCTCAAAAAAGAAGGGAACCCCTAGGATTGGCATCCTGATGAGGAGGTGCCCAGCACAGGGATACTCCAGATTTCGTAATAAAAGGGAGGGGGTCTGGACCCTCCAAGACAAGCCATTTCAGACCTCCCCCGTGGGGGCTCTGTCCACCCCCGATAGATGCCATGCTTCAGAACCATTGGCGACCAGCCCTCGGCCACCTCGAGAGCCCCCACAGGTGTTGTCGAACGTGGGGGCCCCGATGTCAGAAAGGGCGCGCTCTGCGGACGCTGGGGAGGAGGGAGGGAGGGAGGGAGGGAGGGAGGGAGGGAGGGAGGGGGGAGGAGGAGGAAGGGAGGAGGAGTAGGAGGAGGAGGAGGAGGAGGAGGAGGGAAAGAGGGAGGGAGGGAGGGAGGGAGGGGGGGGACGAGGAGGGAGGGAGGAAGGGAGGGAGGGAGGGAGGGAGGGAGGAGGAGGAGGAGGAGGAGGAGGAGGAGGAGGAGGAGGAGGAGGGAAAGGAGGGAGGGTCGAAACGGCCCCTCCCCGCCCCCTGCGCTGGGGGAAGCAGAGCATAACCCTCCAGGTCTCCGGGGCGGTCACGGCGCCGCGCTAGGGTCAGGCATGTCCTCCTACAGGCGGATTTTGGATGAAAAATGAAAACCTTGGAACATGCTCAAACAATGCCCAACAACACTAGAAACATCGTCCCCATACGATTTGTTACTTTGGAATACCCCTCCTGTAGAGGGACACGCCCGACTTCGGATTAGTACCTGGGGTGATCAAAGACCGGGCAGCCTGAGCATCGAGGCACCTATGGTCCAGCGGCAAGACCACGAGACGC